CCCGGGGGAGGGGGCTGGACGCGGCCCGGTAGCGGGTCAGGCTCCTCCATGGCTGGGGAGCGGAGGGAAGCAACCGCAGCCCACAGGGACACCAGAGGACACCAGCCTGACCCCTCGGGGCTGGAGCCAGTGTCCCTCCCCTCCCCAGCAGGTGCCCCCGCAGCTCCCAGGACAGCACGACCCCACTGGTCCTTCCCTGGGGCCCACTCTGTTCAGCGGCCGCTGATCTCAACCTGGGGAGAAAGGAGCAGCGTTAGCCCCCCCACCAGGCAGCCACCCCCCGCCCTGCCCTGGGCTCACTCACCTCAGAGCCGGTGGCCCAGGCTGACCACTTTGGCAGGATGTGTCACTGACCAGAAGTTGCGCTTGCTCTGGAGCTGCTGGAAGGGATTGAAGTGTCTCCTCCGCTCCTGCTTCAGTTTTTTAATCTTCTTTACCTGTGTGGAGGCAGGGATGCTCTTGGGGTCAGAGCACAGCCCCCTGCCTCCCCCCACCCAGCACAGCCCAGCACGTGGCCAGCACCCACCTTCCCTCTGTCAAACTCCTTGTCCCACTCATCGATGATGGTCTCGCTGCGGGCCCAGGCTGCGTCCCGCTCGGCATCCTGACTGACAGCTGAGATCTCTCCCTCCCAGGTCAGCACTGCAGAGCAGCGTGGTCAGACCAGAGCGCCCCAGCAAGCTCTGCTGCACCTGTCCATGCAGGGCCCCCACCCTGGGCTGGGTAGTGTGCCCCCCTAAGCAAGCTGGGATCACCTTGTTTGCCATAAGCCTTGTCCAAGGAGTTCCTGAGCAGCTCCTCTACCACGTTGGGCTCCTTCTGGTTTCTGGGAGTTGTGAAAGCCCCATAGCCAGGGGCAGCCAGGCAGTGCCTGTACCCATCTCCAGCCCACTTGTCCCAGGCATACGCTGTTGCTGTGGAAACAAGAGGAGAGAGGACAAAGTGGAGGGAGCAGAGGAAGCTCCTGTGTTGCTCAGTCTCCAAGGCAGATCTTGCCCCAGAAGACTAACAAGGTCCTGATAGTGCAGGGTGTTTGGGCAAACTGGGCCTGTCCTGGGCTGGAAGAGCTGGAGGGAACCCTTCACCCCTTCCTCGAGGGGGCCATCCTCACAAGTCTGTCCCCTCACCCAGGGTACAACCCGGCAGCTCTCCCGTGTGAGGCAGGCTGTGGGCAGCCAAGGATGAGAGTCAGGACAGGCAGCTGGGACCAGCAAGAACCAGGGACTGGACACCAGCGCTCCAAGGGGCAGATGAGCAGCCAGCTCTCTCCTGACAGGTGCTAGGCAGGGTGGGGGCACACGGCCATACCTGGGGTGCCACCTGCACTGTGGACGCTGTTGGCAGCAGGATGCTCCCAGGCTGGGCTGCTGGGGTTTTCCCTCTGCTTGCGCTTGCGGTGCTCGCTGTCTCCAGCCCCAGCCTCCAAGCTCCGCTGCTCCTTTGGCCTCCAGGGCTCCATCTCAGTCCTCCTAGAGCTTGGGGGAGGCAGGAGGGGTCAGCTCACCCCAGCCAGACCAAGGGAGACTTTGAGCCCCCCACAGGGCAATGGGACACAGGGACACCCCCACCCCAGTGCTGCACTCTGGGAGGAGTGAAACCACCCCTGGGCAAGCTGGCACTTGTGCTGGCCCCATGGCAAGGCTTGTCCCACCCGCAGAAAGACAAGAGGCACCTGAGTGCAGCACCAGGAGCCCGACTGGCAGAGCAGAGGGGCACAGGGCCCTCGCCTCTCACCTGCCCAAGGACAGCGTCCCAGAGCTGCGCTCTGCCGTCTCCTCCATTCTCCTCTTTTTCTTCTTCTTCTTGAGGGGGGAGATGGATGCTGTGTCAGACCAAGTACTGGGGTCTGACACTTGCTGCTTGGGCCTGCTCTCCAGATCCTGACAGCCCGGCTCCTCCTGGCCACCGCTGGGAGCTTTGCCTGCCACCTCCTTCCCCACAAGGGATACTGAGCCCTCCTGAGAGAGATTCTTCTTCTTCTTCTTCTTGGGGGGACTGGAGACTTCATCCTTATCCTTCACAGCCAGAGCATGATGGTTGCTGTCTGCTCCATGACGATGCCTTCGCCGCTTCTTTTTGGAGGAACCCGGAGTGACCTGGCTGGGCCCCTTCTCCCTGTTGCAGGGAGGATGGTAGTGTGAAGGGTGGGCAGCGGAACCGTTGGTCAGGGGGGAGGCTGGAAGCTGAGAGGCTGAATTGAAGATGAAGCTAAAAGCAGGTTTTCCAGGATTTGGCAGTTTGAGAGCAGATGAGGACAGCCTGAAGGACAGGAAAAAAGGCTGACATGATCTGAAAGTCATGTCAAGAGCCAGAGCCCCTCTCTTCCTCCCCAACCCAAAGTGCATGAGCATAACACACAAATGCTACCACCTCACCCATGAAATCTGAATCAGATCCTGCTCTCAGAGGAGCAGCTGCAAGCACGCAGTGCCCCTGCCCAGTGCCAGTCACAGGCAGGGCACACGCTGTCCCTCAGGGGATTAGGAGAGAGTGAGTGCTGCTGCAGCACATGGTGAAGGTTATAAAGGAGACATGGAGCTGAATCTAGACTAGGCTGGTGCCTCCGGATCCCTTGGGACTCTAGTACGTGGTCAGAGCCTGAAAAGCTCCCTCCCACCCTATGCTGACAGTACGAGAAACTGCCCTGCTTCTAGGATCCAGAGCAAGGCCTGCCAGTTCAAAAGAACCAGCTGCCAAAATCATACCCCCAGCCAGCTGCGATGATGGACCGTTGCCTTGTGGGGAATCCCAAGGCTGCTACTGGCCCCGCTGCCATGCAGGAGCCTGGGAGCAATTGGCACTGCTTACCTCGACTTAATGAAAGGCCAGGAGTTGGGGTGGGTGGTTTTCGTGGGGGAGGTGTGCTCAGCAAATTTTGGGTGAGGTTGTGCATGGTGGTCACTTCTGCTCGCCTCCCGTGGGGTGCTGCCCTGCAGTTATTGACATAAATAAAAACTTGGTGGTCTAAAGAAAAGAGGTTTCCGTGAGCCAAGAAGAGAAAACAAAAAGGGGAGCCCAGAGAAAGGGGAGGGAAACAGACACAGACGGGGGAGGAAAGTGGGGGTGGTAGAAGAAGAATCAGAAGTATTTTCAGTTAGAAGCACAAAGGAAAAAAGGAAGGAAGGAAATTTAAAGAACAGAAATCCCAGTGCACCATCCCGCACCCGGGCTGCACAGCAGCACCAAGAGGGTCAGTCCCGAGGAGAAGGCAACTCCACAGCCCTCCAGCTGTGTGTCACCTGCTTCCACTCGCCCCAGGGGACGCATGATGCTGCCCCTGCTGCAGCGCCTGGCACAGCCACCTCCATCTCCAGAGCAAGGAGGTAGGAGCCATTTCTCAAGGATGTGAGCAACAGAGGGGTCCTGGCCCCACAACCTGACCCAGATAGAGAGAGCACCTGCTGCGTCCCCAGGGCTGAGGGGCTCTGCCCACCCACCTCCAGTTTGGCAAGATACCCATGAGCATTGGCCAATGCTGGCTCCCAACACAAGCCCCAGTTCAGAAAGCACAAGCCTTCTTGTTCCCCCCTCCAGATGCCTCTGGGCAGAAGCCTAGACTCACCTTTTTGGCAGAGAGCGCCAGCTTCTTGGCCGGTGGTGGTGACATGGTGCTGCTCAGCTCCAGAGCAGCACTGCCCAACAGGGAGCATTTCAACCTTGCTGCCTTGGTGTCCTCGGGGGCAGCAGGCTGGGTGCCGGGGCCAGCAGGCAGGTCTGTGCCACAGTCTGTTTCCTGAGAGGTGCTGCCCTTCTGGGGTGCTTTGGCCAGTTTCCCCACTGAGCCATGTGCTGGGCTGGCAACACTGCTGCTGCAGGAGTCCCTCTCCAGGGTCTCGGTGTTCTCCCCACCATCCCCAGGCTCCGGGCTGGGCTCCAGAAGCAGCTTGGCTGAGGTAGGTGGCTGTTTGCTCTCCCAGGAGCTCTGCCGGGGCAGCTCTGCTCTGCTACCACTGGCATTAGAGGAGTCACAGGAGCCCTGAACTGCCCTGGGTGAGGGAGGCAGCTGTGGGAGGGAGAATGGCTTCTTGGGCCTCTGGGCTGTGTCACTGGGCAGCGCTGTGGCCGTGTGGGCGGCTTTCAGGGGCAGTTTGGGCGACGGGGACCCAGTGGGCAGCTTTGGTGAAGCGGTTCCATTCGGCAGCTTTGGCACAGTCCCAAATGTGTTGCGGGCCACAGGGACCCCAATCTCCTCTGGTCCCAGCACCTTCTTCCCTGGCAGCATGTCTGGTCTCTAGACAGAAAGAGAGAAGTTCAGAAAGGAATGAATCCAAGGAACCAAGGACTGGGCAATCCTGCCCTCCCCATCCCTCCCTCAGCTTGGCAGGATCCCTCCTGCAAACCATCCTCCCTCACCTCCCACCTGTCGCCCTGAGAAGCCACAGCCCCCCACCCTTGCAGAGCAGACAGAGGGGCCACAGCCCCCAGCTCGGGCGAGCACTGGCCAAGAGCAGCCCTCAGGACTCACCCGGCCCATCAGTGGTGATGACAGGGGCCTGCTGGTCACAGGTTTCTTGGCCTGATCGGAGCTGCTGCTGATGCGGCTGGGAAGGGTGGAGGCAGCTTTGGCAACAGACCCCTTCCTGAGCCTGGGGATCCTGGTGGAGGCAGAGATGTGTCCATGTTAACGCCAGGGTCTGAGCAACTGGAACGCTCTTGTTGGAGACACACACAAGAAATGGGAGCCAGAGGCTCCAAGGAGGTGACATGTTCTTGGTCTACAGAAAAACCCTGACAAGGAGCTGGGCCTCTCCCTGCCACACTCCTTCCCACCCCTGGCACATGCTATCAGCCCTGTCCCAAACACTGTAAGCCAGGGGCAGGGGGACACTGGATGCTCTCACCTCAGGTAAAACAGCAGGTAGGCCTGCTGGTTGAGGACCACTTTGATGTTGCTGCAGCGGACCAGGTCATCATTCATCTGATACCACTGCCCGTTGCTGGCCTGTGGAAGGAGAGAGAACAGGGCTAGGCCACGTCTGGGGATCCTGCTGGCCTGAAGTGTAGCAGGAACAGTGCCTGTTAACAGAACTCCTCTCCCCAAAACCCACAGGTAGCACAGGGCAGGCAAGTGGACTCTGGAGATTAGACCTCCTGTGGTGGAGCTCAGCCTGTGCCCCACATCCAGTGCCCCACACCACACACATCTGCTGCTCACCCTCCTTTCTGCACACTGCAGGGACCTTTCAGCACCCACGAGCCCCCGGCCCAGAGCAGGTGCCAAGGGAGCACTCCGGGCTCACCTTCACGTAGCAGTAGTAGTGCCCCGCGTGGCAACTGTAACCCGAGTGCACCAGCACTGCATAGAGCCCATACATCACGGCGTCCCCATTGTTCTGAGACATGTACGGGCGGACGTTCAACAGCTCAGGGTACCCCACATCCTGCAGAGAGAGGATACCTCAGGAGTCTGCACAGCAGATGTCCTTCTTGCTCAGTCAAGAGCAGCTCAGCTGTCCTATGAGTCCTTTGTCTCGAGAGAGGGGGACCTGTTCTCCCCAGACACACGCCTTGGTGATGAAGATGCCAGGAAGAGCCATTCTCCCACCACACCACTCTGCTGGGGAAGGGCTGCAGCAGAGCTGGCACTGCACACAGGACCAGCTCCCACCCTGGCCCAGGACACAGCCCCAGCTCTGGGATGCCGAGCACTCACCTTGGTGATTTTGCCTCCACCAAAGTCAGCAAAGCGTTTCAGTGAGAGCGTGAGAACATTGGAGGCTCGGTGGATGGTGAAGCGTTTGCTGGCTGTCACTTTCTTCTTGCATCTGCAGAGGAAGAGCTCAAGCTATTCAAGCTGTTCCATCACCCAGATGATTGCCAGCCCTGGCCCAGCAGTGAACTCCAAGGAAATGACCCTGTTGACAGCAGGCACCACTCCAGGACATCTGCTCATGGCCACGTCTGCTGGCCCAGGTCCTCCTTATGAGCAGAAGGAGCTCAGGAGTGGTCGGCTTCATCACAGGCCACCTACCTCTCAGCTTAGCTGAGAAGCAGGCAGAGAAGCCCCCTGGTATCATGGCAGGCTTTCTGCCTGCAGCCCCCACACTCACTTAGCACACATGTAGGCGTTCTCCCCACCCAGCACGTCTGGCCTCACAAACAGCTCCAGCGCCCGCACGATGTTGGCTGCGTGCTGCCAGGACAGAGGAGACAGAGGTCAGGGCAGCACGACAGCCCGGCTGCCCAATGCCACGCTGGCCCCGAGATAACACAGAGCATGATCACAGGGGCACCAACCACATCAGCCCCTCAGCTTGCCACCCAGCCAGGTGCTGGCTGGGACCCCCCACGGGACAGCTGCGCTGCTCCCAACACTGCAGAGCCCAGAGGAGCTATGGCTCGTGCTCCAGCCACAGGCACTGATCTGCCATGCAGAGAAGGCAGCACAAGAGCAGAAGCTGTGTCACTCCTGCCTGCACCGTGCCCAGGCACTGGTGGGTTATGACACCCTGGGAGCAGACAAGGTGCAGCTGCAGGAACAGCCCCAAGAGAGCAGAGAGCCCTGCCCATTCCCAGCCCTGGCCCAGTACCCTGATCTCCAGTGCCAGGTCCAGGAAAGGGTCATAGGTGTCCGAGACTGTCTTGCACACTGAGCACTTCACTGCAAAAGGAAGAGCAATGAGCACAGCCGGACACAAGCCCTGCACCCACCAGCACCCCAGAACAGCACAGGTGTCTGCAGTATTCCCCCTCTCTGGCTATGGGCTCTGGGATGTCAGCACCAGGATTCACATCCTGGCAAGGAGGAAGACCAGCAATTCCACCATGTGCTGGGACAGCTAGTATTGCCAGACAGCTGCCAGCATGGATCCCTTTGCTAGCGGTGATGAGCTGGGGACCACAACCAGCAGCCTTTTCCATCGCCACAACTGACCCACAGGTACCACAAGACTGACCAACTGTGCCTCTGGATCATGTATACACACTTAGCTATTTTCCCAAAGGATTTCAACTGCAAGGCTCTCAGGGCAACTGCAGCCCTGGTAGTCACAGGCCCAGGACCAGGCAGGCAGCACTCACCACGAGAGCGCAGGTAACCGCCAAAGATCTGGTGAACCAGCGTCGTGGCCTGGGTCTGGCGATCCAGCCTAGAGAGCAGAGCAGGGTCTCATACTGTCCTCCCACAGCAGCCACCCCCTTGAGCCACCCGTATCCCCAGGACAGCTCCCCTGCATGCTCTGCCCAGCAGAGTTCCAGGAAGAGAGGAGCAATTCCAGTGCCAAAGGGGTGGCACCAGGCTCCAACTGTGCCTTCCTCTAGAAGAAGTAGAAACTGGCTGGAGCTGGGCACATTGCATAGAGGCAATGCAGGCTGCTGAGATGGAGGGGAAAGCTGCCCACCCACAGCCACAGAACTGGGGCTGAGCTAACAAGCATGCCTGTATTCCTTGGCAATTGAGACAGGATTCAAACCCACAGCAGCCTCAGGATTTGGGGACAGGACCAGAACCGTGCTGGGGAAGAGATGTCAGAAAGGAGAAGCCCAGAGCTGTTTCATAGAGCACTGTGCCATCCACCCAAGGCCCCTGGAGTCAGCACCTGCCCCTGAGTCTGACCTGGGGGACAAATTCACCCCACAGTCCGCTCCCGTGGGCACAGGAAACCAGCGAGTGGACAGCAGACAAGAGCAGTGACAGGCCACCAAAGGCCCCACATACTTGGTACAGCCATTCAGGCAGGCCTTCTGCATGGCGTCGATGGTGTAACGCAGGAACTCGTGCGCATCCTCCTGCCTGCCAAAGTGGATGTGCCTGGCAATCTCTGCAGAAGAGGGAGGAATCAGCCCCAGCACGTGCTGCAACCGACACAGACTCTCCCTCCCTCCCTTGGAACTTGGGGCTTGAGCCCTCTCAACCCAAACCAGATGTCAGACTGATACTGGCCATGGGGGAAGCCCCATGCAGACCATGAAGTCATTGGCTCCTGGCAGGGTCAGTGAGTCATTTCAGAAGAGCTGCCTGCCAAGACCTGCCCCCTTCTCAAAGGTTCTGCTCCTGCATTAGTCAGCGTTCTCCTGCACAGCTACAGGAGGAGAGTGCAGCCATCCTTACTCTTGAGGTCTCGGATGAAGGACACTGGCTTTATCGCGTTGCCGCTGTTGGCAAAAGCCTGGATCGTGTGGTTCTGCATAACGCACAGCATGCAAAAACCTCCTTGGCCACCTGGAGCAGGAGAGAAGACAAGACGTTGGGGACAAAGCCAGTAGAGATGGAGGCAGCACAGAGGACAAGGGATCTCTGATCCAACACAGCTCAACCACGCTCGGTTTTCCCTGTGAGCTCTCGGGCATCCCGGGCACACAGGGATGGGCACATGCCATCCTGGCTGGTGCAGCCTGTCACACCACCAGCCCCTGCCTCCTCTCCAGAGCAGGCAGCACACACATGGATGGAAAACAGGTCACAGGCACTCGTTGAATCAGCCTGAAGGGCAGATCCCCCTGGAGCCCTACGGATGGGGCTGAGCCTCACATGCTCCCCTTGCTCACAGCTTGAAGCAGCACCCACCAGAATTCCTTTCAAAACCACCCATAAACAGCATCCACTGCCTGTACACAGCCTTCTGCCCTGCCCACACATAGGGGCTATTAGGGAACCCCAGTTCTGCCCCCAGGAAGCCAGCACACCCTGCCGAACCCATCTTATCCCTGGCTACATCCAGCAGAGACTGTCTCCCCAGACACAAGGCTGGAGAGCTTGGGAACACTGCTAGGGCCAAGAAAAAAGAGCCGTTCACAGGAACGACCTCACACTAGAGGAACGGGGAGGAGGGAGCAGGGAATGCACGTCCCGACGGCCGCACAGCCCCGGCAGAGCCGCGTGCCGAGGTGCTGAGCACAGCACCGGCGGGGGCGGGCCCCCCCGCCCCCCCCCCCCCCCCCCGCAGCCCCTGCCGAGCCCCCCCGATAACTCTCCCAGACCCCCCCCCAGACCCCTCACAGACCTTTCCCGGACCCCTCA